ATCTTAGAGCTTCCTGGAAAACCCTTGAAGAAACCAACCACGAGATGAACCTTGGTCAGACTGTGAGGCTTCGAAACACTGCAGCTATCCCAAAAAAGACCATGTGACATTGCAAAATAGGATATGGCTGCAAACAGGGAGTATGATAGAAACTCAACACTAAGGTAATGCAGAAACTAGTCAACTTCCAGAGGCCTCTTTCACCTCAGAGTAAGATGTAGGAAAGCACAAAAGCTTGATCAGTTCTCCAAAAATCAAATGAAGCCAAGTGTGACAAACACCTTTAAACATTTTCAAAAGCCTAGAATGCTTTCTGCTACACAGAAGGGGCTGCTGTCAAGCTATTGTGAAATGAAGGTCAGTTCAGGCTTTTGGTTCCAAGAAAAAGTAAGAAACACTGGCAAATCACCAGTTTTCCTAGTTTATAGATGAGGTTTGCACTGGACAGCTGGAAATCCAGCCACTGATCACTGTGCTGGATATGGGGTCAATTTACATCACAGGCAAGGGTTGTATGCTGTTTGTGTACTCTGTCTGAATGTCACCGAGGATGAAGCTGAGCTGCCAGTCTTATCCCTGTCTAGGAAGACAGAAGCATGTTGGTTTTCACTTGTTAGTGAACTGTGTGTAAAAATCCTTTTTGAATTCATGTGTTCTGAGAGCAGTCGATGCTCAGGAAGGACCTAATTGTTGTTATGTTAAGTTCTGGGATTTGGTCACATTATTCTGTGACTACCAAAACCAGAGCAATGAAAGGCACAGGCAGTTCCCCTCTATGCAGCCTGTCTGTGCATACAGAAAGGGCAGGTGGGGAGATCTCAGTTTAGTTTAGAAAAGCTCTTGACTTCTAGGACATGGGTCAACCTCCCACAGGTAAAATGCTGTTTGATTTCACATTGCATATAAAACCCCCCATACTTTCAATGTGCAATGTACCAGCTGTCAAAGGGCATTCAAACATTGTTCAGTTCCTGCTTTAAGGCAAGACCAGGCTGTGCATTAGCTGTATTCAGTGCTGTTGGCTGAAACCAGATATGGTTCACAAACTGGATGCTGTATTACTATATATATATATATATAGTCCAGCATGAAGGCAAGAGCTGCTTAGGCAAGAACCCATGTGTATCAAATTTACTGTATGGATGAAGTTCTGCTCTTTAACTGGAGAAGAAAAATAACCTGCAATGCCCAGAACTTTGAAAGCCAACTTACAGCACTGAAGATGGCCTCCTTGATTATAAGCAGTCACAAATGCTGGTAACTTTGATTTTGGCTCTGAAGTTTGTGTCTCTGCCCAGACCCTATATTAGACTGAAAAGTTTCAGAGTGAAACCATGGTCATCTTTTTAGGTTGCAGCCAAAAGCTGAATCACTAAACCTAGTGTCACCGGTAATTTTAAAATTTGTTGGGATTTATGCAAAGGAAGATGCTAAGTCTCACCAGTCTCAGTGCAGAAGCCACACAAAATGATAGATTTTGTCAGCACTACTTGTTTAAGTGAACATTGTTTTGCTCAAAAGTTAGTGCAGATTTGACATTAAAATGTACTTTCTGTTAGCAGATCTTTCCATTAATTTGGACCAGACACAATCCTCTTATTATGAAAAGCTCCTACACTTTCTACTTTGCATAAAAGTCCCTTAGATAATATCCTCATATGCACCAAAATGTCACTCTGTAAACACTCCTTGCACTTAGAGCTAAATAGAAGCTGTGTTTTGTCTCTTTCTCTAACAATTTACACAGGACCCTAACTGCAAAAAAAATTCCAGTTATGCGATTCCTTCATTTTTCTGTTTGTGGTACCTACTGGCTTTTGCATAGTCAATATTTTATGGAGCTTGGGAATAAAATAAAATAATAGGGAAAAAATAAATTTCCAACCTTAAAAAAAAAGCACCAGTGTTTAGAAAATATCTAACAGTTAGATTTAGCTCAGGGTCTGCATCCTGCTTACCCTATAGAACAGTCTAACTTGCATCACCAGTCAGCAGTCCTTCCAGTTGACTTAGACTCACAAAGAGTGAAGCTATATGAAGAAAAATAGGAGGATTGCCAGTCCTGTTCCCTTTTCAGGCTCTCTTGACAAAGAGAACAAGCTATAGTTTTGTCACTTAAATGACCAGAAAAGTGCAGTATCACTTACTTAGACAGCAAAAGGCCCTCAAGGCTAATGAAGACAAGCTGATGTGTTAGCAGCTTTTCAGCAAGTGCATGGTTCAGAGCAGGAATCAAATGATGACAGCCCTGACTGCCAGGAAAGAGAAGTGTAGGCAGATCAATGTAAAAAATAGAATATCTGCAGATATTTGCATTTCCTTTCTCATGGCATCCATGACTGGCACTCTTCATGCTATGTTTTAAGCCACCTTTTAAACTTCAGGTGCTTAGAGGTCTTGAAAATACCATCCCTGCCACTCAGCAGCTCTACAAAGTCACAGTTGGAAGAGCAAACTGGAGTTGGAAGGTTAAGGAGTATTTACATGCAGATTAAACTGCAAACCTATGCATATAAACAAATACTATACTTGAAACTAGAGCAACAGGCTAGAATATTTTATGTTGTGATTTTTCTTTAGCAAGTTGACAACACTTGAAGGTGTGATGGCCAATTCCCAGACCTCCCTGACACTCCTTTTTCAGAACTGATGGCATATTAGCTGCTCACCTGCTATTTTGGTGGTTTTGCACAAGTAATACAGAGCAGTCATTCAAAGAAAGGAAAATAGGTAAGGTGGGCTTTAAAAGAGCATCCAAAAATCTCCACTAGGAAAATCCTGGTTCTGACAGAACTTCTGCAGACTGAAAGGAATGCTTTAATTTTTCAGATTCTGAGAAAGTTATTCCCCTTTCCCAATCTCTCCCCCTCCTGGCTGCTTTCTCTTGGAGCAACAGCCCATTTATGTCCCATGTTTCACTTCCCCAGCTCTGGCAACATGAATCAGAAACTAGAGGTGTAGCAAAATGACTGAAGAAAATATTTCCACATGGTCAGATGTTCTTTTGTTCAAGCCAGTGTCTGTGCAGACACCAAGGGAAAAATTCATGAATATCTCTAGGTGTTTCCAGTTGTGCCAGAACACCTTATTACTCAACACCTGGCAAAACCAGCAACTGACCATGGCTGGATTCCTGTCCACATCTATAACAAATCAGTGAAATTACAGCACTCTGGGGTAATCTCAGATTAACTCAGCTTTGGGAACAGAGCTTTCACCACCTGAACTGCTCTGGGACATCCTCCAAGTTCTGCAATGGGAATGTTGGCTTTTAGGTTAAAAAAGGCCCTTCCTCACAATGTTTCTCCTGGTCAGGGAATGAGATGCCAGTGTTGTGCAGCACCATGTTCACTCTCTCCATGGTAATTGGAGTGCCACTCACTGCTCTGGCAGTACTCCCAGCTGGATATAAAGGAACTGCTGACCTGAGCCGTGTTAGCCCCACCACCCACACTTGCAGTGACTACACACAGAGTCACTAGGCCAGGGGGCCAGAGGTGTGCTGAAAAATCCCTGGCACTAGAGGGAGGGCAATGCCAGAGTGGTAGGACGAATAGAGGTTGCACTGAAGAGGAGAGCCAAGGCAAGTCCAGAGCAAAGCAGAGGAACAAAGCCAAGCTAGAACAAGATGGGTGTGAGCCAAGTGCAGCAAAAGCCAAGAAGCTCTGAAAAGCCATTCTGCTGCAGCCAGGATCAGCTGAAGCCCTCAAAGGAGGCTTTGCTCCAAGATGTCCAGAGAATGCTCTGCCATGCATGAGTAAAGACTGCTGCCCCTTCCCACTCTTTGGGAGAGGAGCTGCAGGTAAGGCTTACAGTGACTCTGGTTTTGGCAAGCAACCCAATATGAGCAGTGCCAGTGTTCCCATGCTGTGTGAGCATGATTAGTGAAAAACACACAGCATGGGTGCTCCTTGAGGGAATTTGGCAAAATAACATCAGAATCCCCACTCTAGTTCACAACGAGCTTCTGTGCTGGCCTGTGTCCTGGTCCCATGCAGAAGGACATGCTGCATTTCTCAGTGTGTAGGAATTGGTTTTCCAAGCCCTGGACAGGTTTGGCAAGTCACTCAGGCTCGCTGTGGCTTTTCCCTACTCCCCCAGCTGTTTGTTACCATACCTACAGCTGCAGTGGCAGAGCAGTAGTTGGGTTTCCTCTCTCATCCACTTCCAGCAAAGTCACACCATTTCAGTTAGCGAAGCAAGGCTGCAGACAGGCACTTTCTTCCTAATTCAGCTGAAGAGATTTTGGCCTTCAGATGTCCTATCCACTCTCCAAATAAGGTTAGCACCCCACAGTCCCAATGTTGGAGTGATTTGAGACAGCTCTAAATCATGTCAGACAAACTCCAAGCATCTACTCAAAGTGCTCAGTCTAATTCAGACTCGTGAGGGGACACAGTATCTTACAACAAAGGGGTAGAGTGAAGGATAAAAATGATCTCAGCTCTCAGGTACACAAGTGTTTCTTCATGCCTGCAACAAAAAGAACTTCTTTCAAAGGCAACTATAAGGAAAAAACAAAATAATCAGTGTTCAGTCCATCACAAAATGGACCAAATATGTGTGACCTAAACACTGTGTTTCATTTGAAGTAAGTTAAGGCACACAGAAAGAAACTTCTTGGCACTGCACAGAGCTTTCCTTCAATGTGATGCTGAGCAGCTGCTGGTGGCAGCATTTAGTACAGCTGGAACTGGCAAGACTGCCTAGTCATACCCTTATTCTCCTTTTTGTACTCTCTCCATTTGGCCTGCTAAGATAAAGGTATTTAGAGATACACTAGGTTAAGAATGGAGTGTCCAGGGAAGGAGGGAAAGAAACTAAAGGTTTTAATTAAAGAAAAGAATACTCTTTTGCAGGGTAACAGAAAACTCAGCACTGAGATATAAAGTGTTTCGGTCCAAGTACAGCACACATGTAACTCCTCATGACACACATCTCATTACAGCTGACAGAACTACAACATTCCTCAAGATGGTCACAATGCAGACAACAAACAAAAAGTACTTCCATCATCTTTAATACACAGGCAAAGCCTACAGAGATCACAATGTCCTGTCTCAATATAACTGGGTAAGTTGCCATAGAGATATGTTCGTATTAGAGACAAAAAACAGCTGCAAATGTCTCTAGAGCACTGTTGGCCACATTTATCTTGTGGGTTACACTTGGCCAGTTCTGATTTTAAAATCAAAGCAGGTACATTTTTCCCCACTCAAATACCAAGTAACAGATTCATTGAACCGAGCCCTTACTGGCAACCCAGCAGATGTGAGAAGAGGGTACTCTCTTAAAAAATACAGAACAGACAAATACATAAGACACAGGCCCCAAATTTCATCAGTACATTGGGGCATACATGCTTGTAACATGAACTCCATAAGGCTGTATTTTATACAGCTGCATATTAAAAAATGCTTGAACAGGTGACATTCCTTAGCTGGCCTCCAGGATTCAGTTCAGAAGATTGGCAGTTACACAGTCGCACAGATTTCTCTTTTCCACCTGAAGAAGCAGAGTTTCTGTCTATAAGTGGGGGAACAAAAGGAACATCAAAAAACAAGGGTCAGCACTGTAAGACTAATTAGCTCCCAAAGAAAAGCCCATTTTACTTTTATTCTAATATCTGAAGCTGGTTGTATGAGATAAGGCTTGAAGCAAAAATCAGAGTTACGGTTTACTGGTCTGCAAAATAATTTAGCTTTTGTGGGATTAATTGGCATATCAACATGGCAATACTTCCTGTGACATCGGGAAATTCAGTGCAGTACACACTCATGTTTTTCACATTAGTCCATTCATTATGTGTCTGGGTTCTTTCATTTTTGTTTAAAGTTATTTTTTTTTCTTACAGTCTTACTTCAACAGCACAAACTGGAGCATAAGCTCAGAAGTTTATTAGAGGCTTAAAAAAGCCCCCAAAATCTGTCACAAATCTTCTTCTACTTAAAAACAGTTTCAAAAATTAAATTTAGAAAATTACAGCCGGGACTTAGTATTAAAAGTTATACAAGGAAAGTATGGCAAAATGTAATCATAGAATATCTCGGGTTGCAAGGGACCCATAAGGATCATCAAGTCCAACTCCCTGCTCCTCACAGGACTACCTAAAGCTAAACTGTATGACTAAGAGTGCTGCCCAGACACTCACTGAGCTCTGGCAGGCTTGGTGTCATGGCCACTTCCCTTGGGAGCCTGTTCCAGTGACAGACTACCCACTCAGTGAAGAAATTCACTTCTGCTTCAACTTCTCCTGCTTCACTGTTGTCCCTGTTAATGTGCTGTTGGAGCCTAAAACAGAGGGGAGATGCTGTGCTGGCATACAGCCATCACAGTCCAACCATGTGATGAGATCCCTGGCCTTTTTAAAGAAAAGGCTCAACTACTGGTGAGAGCAAAGTTATCCCAGTTGAACTGAGGTTCATCAATATCAGGAGATCATTGCTGGCCACAGATCCCTGTTTCTGGAGCATCAAGGGTGGATTGGGAACTTCTCAGAGCTGGAGCTGGGTATGATCAGTGCGAGAAAGGACTGAGAGGCAGGGAAGAGACAGCAGGGCTGCATACGGAAATTTAGGAGTCCTTCATCTCGAGTCTGTTTTTTCTGGCTGTCTGGAGCATGTGTAGGTTCAGTAGATGCAAGATGGAGCACAGAGATGTTTGTCATCAGCATCGTATCTTCACCTCAGTCTGTCTACCATGAGCTGAAGCTGTATCTGAGAATCAGTCTGATCCAAGAGAGGTCTTCCTCCTTATTGTCACGGGATACACTAGCTGTGGGAAGTCCACTCACCAAATTAATCCCTACTGGTGTAACCAGCTACACAAAAAAATAAAGGGCCTTATGAAGACTGCCAGCTCTAAATGCCAATGAAATCTATCCTTAATCTGCCTGACTTATGATTTCTCTATAGATGGAGTTGCCATGTGATTAAAGGCTGTGTTTTAAAAGCTGTGTTATTCATTGACTGACATCAGCTGAAGGCACTCAGAGCACAGCTGGGCTGAAGCATCCTGCTCTCCACTTGCCTTCTTAGTGCAGGAAAAGCTATCTATCTGCTGGTCAGAGTTTTTTCTCCAGATGATAAATCACTAGACACAGCTCAGTGGTTCTAAATTAAATCAGGTATCACTTTTGATTGTTTCAGTTACCCTGCAAAACTGGAAAAATCTGATCAGACTTTGCTAATCATTGAAAAGACACTCAATCACCACCTTCTAACCATCTCTTTCACATCATTTGCAATGGTGCGAATAAGGAAGGCTGACAGCATGCCAACATCTTTGGAGCTAAGCCCCAAGTCTGCTTATCATCTTATATATCTTCAATAATATTTTCAAGCCTTTCTTATTATTTTCAGGGACAAATCTAACTTAATGTGCTTTAAACACTCCAAATAACCACTAACAGTTTAGAAAGCAGTAGTGAACAAATTGAATGGCACTAAATACAGCTTTGCTGACTGTTCTGTGAGCATGATCACAAAACTGTTTGCACAGAGCTTTGTTAGTATCACCTGGTAGGTTAAAGCATGTTTTAAAAACCACCCAAAAATCAAAACCAAAGCAAAAGAACAACAATAAACAAACAAGCAAAACCAAATCAGAACAAACCAAAACAAAACCACCAAAAAAACCTCAAACCGGGTTCAGCTTCTGAAACTGAACAAAAAAAAGCTATTATGTTCCAGACAAAAATGCAGTTCCTGAGCCCTTTCAAGTTGTAATGTAACGTCCACTGGTTGGTTCTGAAAAAAACGGGCTGGAGTTTTTTTACATATATATCTGTATTACAGACTTAGAGTGAACTATACAGCCCATGGACTGGATCTGCTTTCCAGAATTTGTTTTATGGCATCTCCCTGCTGGACTCTGTCTTGAGCAGCTTTTATTAGGGATCTGGCTGTGAACTGGATGAATGGCTGTGGTGGTAGCAGCTCCCTCACAGCAGTACTCGACCCCTCTCCCCAGTTCACCATCAGAGCTGCACCTGCCACATACAGCACTTTGGCTGAGTGGTGAATCACAGATATCCCCAGAAAATATTGCCCAGAGTTAGTTATCACTGCCAAAACAACTAATCCAGCAGCAACCAAAGGGTGGAAAACAGTACAGAGCAGGGTAAACAGATCTGGGGAGAAGCCAACCTCCCCAGGGTGGTCTGTGACCCTTCTCTTCCACATGGGAAAAATGCAACCAGCTTGACAATTAGTAAGGAATCAACACATCAGTGTAGGTTACAAACACATCTAGTTCTGTAAAAGGAAGGACATACAGCCTATGGCCTCCATAAAAGGGTATGTGACCTATGCTAGAGTCAGCTTGCTTTACACAGGTCAACACAAGGCCAAATTAAGTGTGAAAGCTCTTGAACTGTGCTATAAAACTATATGGATTCCCCTGTACAGAACTGCAGGGTGAGATGTGCAGGAGGAATTAAATGAGAATTTCTTCTCTAAGCTTTTGGGAATCCCTCCCCCTCCCACACAGCTAGGAGCTGCTTAGTCATCATCTAACAATCTTGCCTGCAAACAAAGGAGAGTTTTTCAAGGAAATTAGTGTCTCAGTGGGAATATTAACAAAGGGAATTGTATTTTCGGGGACAGAAACATTTGCCCCACAAAGCAGTAAAATGGATTGAAATAGTCAAAAGTGAAATATATGTGTGGCAGAAAGCAATGGTCTTAAAACTCTCAGTTTGCATCAAATCAGGCCACAGCTGAATAATAAAAGTAAGAATTAAAAGACCCTAGAAGGCAGTTCCAAGAAGTCCTAAACTATTAGATATTTCCATGTCTTCTGAAGATGTAGGCAGAATTCCTAGTTTAATGACTGGAATAGGCCTGACCCAGTCCAGAGGAAATGAACGAACTCAATATGGATTCAATTATTTAGATTTTAAAGTGATAAGGAAGTGATAGGTTTGTTTTGGTGAGAATTTATCATGGAACCACATTTTCAGGCTTGCTGTCAAATCTGCAAGTGTGAAAGTCAATAATAGGGCATTCATCTCAACTGACTTTTTTCCATCATTTTATCTCTTTGGCTTTCTATTATTGTTATATTTTTTAAATTATTAAAATACAGTTGCTATCTTTGGCGTTCTTATTGCTACTCCTGCTTTGGATATCTGTGTTTTATAAAGTTTCTCTCTTGGTCTGCAAACTGAAGGTTTCATAAAGGTCACTGCCATAGCCAGACACCCAGAAAAGATTTTAGGAGTTGAGATACTTTTAAATCAAGATATAGAAATTCTGATGAAAAGTTCAAAGGTTTGTAAAAGAAGGAAAAGGTGTGCTAGAGCCACTTTATAGCACCATCTGAACATCTTGTTTGGGCTGTATACAGTGCTCAGCAGATGTATGAATTAACAAGATTTCTTCATGAAGCCCAAAATATAGTTGACCTGTAATTATTGAACAGATTTTGTTTAGCTGTAAATGTGCTACATACCAATCTGGTTCTGCTGGAATGTTTATTTTTTGTAGTATGTTACACTTCAAGGCATCTTCACTCCTGCATTTGCATTTTCACCTAAACATCATAGACCCTCCTCAAAGTTACCTCAAGCCATTCTTCGAAGGTGCCAGTTCACAGGCTTTGGACTGTGAACAAGCTTGACCATAAATCAGAAGAGCAAAAAAAGTTTGAGTGCCTTCTGTTGGAAAAATCTGTGCAAGAGTGTAGCTCTAGCTCTTCAGCTAAAGGGTACGCCGGAGGTGGGGATGAAGTACCCTCCTGGGACACTACCATCTGACAGCAGCACAGATTGCAGGTTGCAGCAGCAAGAGACAGATTAGACTTTCCTCACAGAAGGAAGATGCCAACCTTGGCAAATTCAGCACACTGACTGCAAGCCAAACAAGTTTCATTCCCTATGCTGTTCTACTTTGTGTCATTTTTCATCATTTAGAAATCAGAGAAATGTAAAAACCAATTATGGATGATGTTTCCTCCCTTAGCCTCTCCCCGGGGACAAAAGCATGTGCAGAGAAGTATTTTATTTTAGTGGATTTTTTGTCTGAACTGGCTATCTCCTTTTGGGTAATCAATATAAATGATACTCTCACCTTACTCCCCTAAACATAAAAACAAAAGTGTATGCTCAGCATTTGGAATGAGAAGAGCAGCACTGATGGCTGTAACTTGGCAAGAGAAGGATAGAGGGCTGAGGACAGTCAGTTCACTCTTTTCTCTACTTTCTAATGTCCCTGATACCTCCAAGGCAGAAGAATTCCACAGATTATTGCACAGACAGGTAATTAACCAGCTTCACCTTAGAAGACAGAACAGCACAGTTCACTGAGTATTTGTGCAAAATTCATCCACCTTAATCTACTTTTATCCACAGCATTTTCTTCTATATTAACAAAAAATGAAATAAATAAATTCAATGTTTCCTTACCCGTGTGTCTAGATTATATGCTGTCTTCTTTAAATCCTGCAGAGCTCTCTGCATGAATTCAAATGCATGGCAATCAACACAGGGACGGCCTAGGAGAGCATTTAGCAGAGCATTTAGTAGAGCATCATGACTATATGGCATGAAGAATTAACTAGAAGGATTAAACAGTGATTTTGAATATCAGCAAGAGCTATAGAGCAGAGCCCAAAGAGTGAGTACTATGTAGACACTCTTGAATAATCCAGGTTATTTAAGTGGTCCCTCATGATGGTCCACTCAGTCTCTCAATGGCAAAAGAATTACTTCAACAAATTTGCATTTAAAATTCTTCTTTCTCTTGTCACAGTTCATAGTATGAAAACACTAAACCCATAACCTGAGCCTTTCACTTTGCTCCACTAACCCTGAGCACATATTCAACCTTATCTTTAGATTTTTCAGAAATTACCTCTGAAACCATGAACCTGTTCCCTTCAAAATCCTATTTCCTAATCTTGGAAACTTGAGCTCTAAATAGAAAGCTCATGGAATAAAACTGACTACAACATCACAAAGACAGACCACTTAGCCTTTAACTTTGAATATGGTACAGCTTTGTCCAAACAAATGCCCTGTCATTAGTAAGCATTGCTGATAAGCAGAACTGCTGCATTCTGGACTTACTGCAGTATTTAAGAGAGTGTTCCCAGATCTAGATACCCAGACTGAAAGCCATGAGGTTTGCTCTGTCTTGATCATCATGTAACATAAAGCTGTACCCTAACAGATAGCAGCACTGAGATGGAACAAATATAGACATGATGAAATGTCTTTGAATCATGAGGCTGTACATATGCTCTTATTTGCCTCTCAGTGCCTGTGCCTCGCTGACAACTTCACTGGAAACATTGTGCAAGTGAGAAATGCTTAGAGCAGGTTTAGTTTGCTCTTTGAGGTCTGGTAAGGAAGAAAGGATGAAACCTAGACTGATGCTGGAAAATGCTGCAGTGACTGTCAGCCCATTTTGCAAAAATTTGATTACTGCCTCTGATAAGCTGGAGTATGAGCTTCCAGCTCATGGATCTGTGTGCTAACCAGCAAACAGGAATTCTGCCTGCTGGAGAAAAGGAGCTTGCCAAATCCTTTAACTGGCTAGGGAAAAAAAAGAAAAAACTATTTTAAAAAACCCCATTGAGCAGTATTAAAGATCTGTTCTCTCTTTGTTGTACCACTACCCTACCTTAATGTTACTAGATATGTAATAGTCAAAATGAGAGGGCAGCAGTTTTCATGTCAACAACTTGATGCAAGGACCTGTCATTATGTTTATGATGTAACATGAACTCAACACAAATCAGCAAAAGAGAATTAGATGGTTGAAGGCCCCAACACTGGGTGTTGACAAAATACTTTCTTTGGCAGCTTCACTGTGAATTTTTTTAAAATAAAGACAAATTACTTTAATACGGCAAACATTCTCGAGGAAATATAACGAAAGTCAATGTCAGCTGAAAAAGAGCAAGTCTCAGTAATGTCTCTGAAAAGTGAACAAGGTGATTTCTGGCATAGAAAGGGCTATACAATAGGTGCAGAACAGTGGCAGATTGCAGGTACAAGCAATACAGCAACAGGCAGGAAACAAGGATAAGAGAGTGGAGAGCCTTGGATGCAGGAGAAAAACAGCTCTGGTATGCTAAAACAATGTACATAAGACATGTCCACAATACTCTGAATTATTTGGACAAGCTTCAGTGATGAGAAGTCCTGCAACATGAGAACTACAATAGGGGCTGTATGAGAGGACTGCAGGGTGGTACATACTTTCAGCTGGTATGGCTGTTCCTGCTTCTTGATCAGTTCTCACAGGCTCCAAGAGTAGCAGTACAACCACAAAAACTAAAGGGACTGTAAGGACCACTCTTCTCAGAAGGCAGGGCGCCAGCATCTTGGAAATGGGGGCTTCTCTGTTTATCAAGAGACATAAACAAGTTAGTGAGGGACATTACAGATACAAGGGGTTTGTTACAAAGAAGTTAATGTTCCTGATGGCTAGAGCATTACAAGTCTTCCTCTGGAAGAAAACAAAATATCAGAAGATCTAGATCATGAACAAAAGTTCTCTGTACTTTTCCAGCAGTGCACATAAAATCCGACTGGGAGAGAATATCCCTAAACATGAAGGACAAGATCAGAAGTCCCTAGGCAGTGTTTGGTTTCATTTGCAACTCTGCTTGCTCTGTGGCTTTTTTCTAGCTACACAGTCCCAGATTAACACATAAATCTGGAGACCTGGTTCACTGTTAGACTTTGAGACCAAAACTGCAGGGTTTAGAGTTGGCTGAAATAGACCAGAACCTGGAAAGGATGTCTTTACCCACTGGCTTGCTTTCCTGATGCGCCATCTTTTCGCAAGTATGATACTAAAGGCAACCAGTAGCATTACACACTACACTGATTATAAAACTTACTCCTTTATGAAAGCAGATGAAGGAAAAGACTTTTGTTAAACCTCCACAACTTCATAGGTGGATTCTTTCAATGGTAAATCCATTGAAACTCTTTGACTGTCTGTTTCCCCTCTTAATCTGGACTTCAGACTGTTATTTGCAGCCATCCATTTGTTTCTGAACACCACAGCCAGGTCACACCATGCCCTGAAGTTAGTACAACCTGGTCCAGCAACAGCTGCCCTTCACACAGAGGTGAATTGTTTTATAAGTACACAGGTTTCAAATTAAGTATTCTCTTGACCCAACAGGTAAACTGTTCAGATCGAGAGGGGACACAGAAAACTTGCACTGGCTCAAGCTGCAACTGTGTATTAGGGATTTCAATCTCAAGGATTCTGGCAAACTGCTAGGTTGGTCCTTAGTTCAGCCAAGTTTACCTTCCATTCCTGTACATTCAAATGGAAGAAAGAAAGAATCAAATAAGGCTAAGTTATAGCAATACAATAAAATCCACATGAAAAATCTCTTCAGCTAAGCATGGAAAAGCAGGACAACATTCTGCCTCTTTCTGATATTTAAGCTGGTGCATACTAAGCAAAAGATGTTGCATAAGAGCATAAAATCTGCGTGTACTGAATTCAAGAGTACAGCACTCTCCAAAAAGAGATTGTATTTCACATTTAGAAAGTCAATAGAGGGAGGCAGGAAAGGAAAGGGTTTTCCTCATCTTGCCACAAACACAGAACTGAACAAGCTTGCTCTTTGATATATGCAATCCACCTTTTCAGACACAGCTAATCTGAAGCTGTAAATTCTGCATGAACAATTGCAGCACGTGCAAACCACCAACTCATCCAGAAAAGGAGTAGCATGATACACATCCCCTTCCTGTGCACCTCAACCTAAACATAAGACTAGGGAATGGTTCAGAAGCAAGAGACAAACATGTATGTGTGGAGTCACAGATATATTTTAGCCCACACCAACAAAAAGATATGGCAATGTAATTTCTGTAACCTCATAACTGGGTTTCCTATCCCACCCACTATTTAGATCTGAAAGTGATTCTTATTTCTACAAACCTTAAAATAAATGGATTAAACTCATAACAAGTGGCTTGGGGTTTGTTCTAATTAATGGTGATCTGCAGTCAAAACAAGTACAATCAAAGATACCAGTCTTTGCAGCAGGATGCAGCAGCATGTCTCCAAGTAACAGCAAATTAGGACAATATCAGCCTCTTTTGAAAGCACCTGATGAAGAAGCCACCTGGTCAGTAGGAGCATAAGCTATTCTCATAGTTAACTGAGCACTACAAAGGTTCAACAAAACAAAGCAGACACACTGTTAAACTTTTTTGGAGTACCTTACACATCACCCACCCCAGAGTCAGCTCCGCTTTGTACGTGAGCCCCACTGCAAGCAAATTGCTTCCCGAGTGCAGCAATCACCTTCAATCATGTCTAACTCCTGCCTCTTAGTTATTTCATGGATATTTGCAAGGAATGATCATGACAGGCTTCAAGGGTGGTCTCTCTCTGCGGTGCAACTGGGAACAGAGACAGATCTGTGCATGGACTTCTGGAAAGAGAAAAGTCACCCCCTTTAACAAAGGAAAAAATATCAGTACCTGATCTTTCTCTTGTCTTTGTGATGGTTTCTTTGAAATGGCCGCTGCAAACTGCTAAGAGAACAAGTGCAGCATTTCTGAGCATGTGCACCGTCTCTTTTTAACCTTCTCTGAAAGAGGTTATTACTATGGGGAGATTTCTGCCATGGCAACAATGCAGAGCGCTGCAGCACACAGCACAGATTTAAAGAGGCACAGGCTACGTCTCCCAGGTCTGGAAAAGGATGTTCCTGCTTTGACACGCAAGATCCAGCAGTGACTTGCCTGCTCTGGGTAAGGATTTTAAAGCCAGACCATCTGATTCATCTCTCTTGAAGTCTGCTGAACGGTTTTCCCAAAGTCTGCACAGCTGGATGTGGTGCCTGACTCAAGCAACTTGTTTCCCCAGTGCCTGAAAATAACCATGACAAATTACACCTGCTTTATTGGAAACAAGGACAAACCATGGGATCACACTCAGGAATTGTTCAGTGCACTGTCTTCCATTTGAATGGTTCTGAGATAAGGTGTCATAAACCCTCATACCTGCTCTCCTGGGTGTTTCTGTGATTCCAGTCCCAGGGCTGCCAGGAGCAGCTGCAGGAGTACACACATTTAAATTCAGAGTAAACTTCACCCCCCTTTTCCAGCCTGCACCTCTGCTCCCCCTTCAATGCCCCACGACTCTACTCCAGAACAACACTGACTGCACTTGTGCTGAGTGCAATAATACAATGGAGTGCAGATGATAAAAGTGCTTTTGTCAAAGCAAAGCTAAGTTCAGGGGTTGCATCATCCCCCCAAAACCACATTCCCCATCACAAATTAGACACTAGCAGTTCTTGCTTCAGAGAGAATGGGCACAGCTGAGGGCAGGCACAGCACAGAGGAGCATGCACAGAACTTCAAAGGGACTGTGCACTGTGTTTATTTTAGCTGGTTCACTGAGGACTCAATCTTCAATGCTTTCACAGTGAAAGTGGGGCACTCCGTGTCCAGGAAGGTCAGGCACACAACCTTTTTTCCTTTCATGAGCAGAAACTCCTTCTCAGAATTATGACTAAACTGCTGGCTAACATTTTTCTTTTCAACATGCTCTATAACCTGGCTCTCCTGTGCAGCCCTAGAGGAATGGTTTGCTCCCATTAATTCAAGTAAGTAAGAAAGAAACTAAAATTTCAGGTTGTTCAGTGTGTAACTATGATGCTACATGAAGTTACAGCATCCATGAGCAGAGTCAAGAGGGGATTAATTATAGTACTGCCATTCTTATACATCACAAAAACAGAAAGCAAGGAAAAATAATTTTTAGAGACTGCTCTTTTGGGAAAACAAGATTTAGCATTGCTCTTGCAGAGATAACCATACAGGATTTGGTCTGATTAAGTATCTGCCTATAGACAAATCACAAATGCAGAACTTTATTCATTATTATTCTCAGGCCTCTAATCTCACACCTTGGCCTCTCTTCCTGATAAATAACATTGATATTTATATAGACACACACAGAGACACACACAAACCACCACCACCACTTCCCACCTTCTCATAACATGATCCTTCCCAGTAAATCTTGTCCTGTTCTCCTGAATCCTGTCCTTTCTCTATCACAACAGTAACACCAAGGAGCCAGTCCTGGTAGCTTGGGTGTTATCACTGATTCATTCTTCTAGACCCATGCAGTGGGCTCCAGAGTCCATTAAATAAAATTTTAAAGACCTATTTCTGCCATTCTCAATGCCAAATTGCTTGCTTTAAGCATTCCATACTAGGTATTGGAATGTCTCTTCTTTAGCCTTGTCTTAAATCTGCTTATCCTGCAAGGAACAACTTCCATTTTTGTATTTTAAACACATTTCCTCTTTATTCACTTCTTCCCACTCTGCACTGTGCTAAGCACCAGTTTTTCTCTACACTGAAGCTAAAGTTTTGTCAGCTGTAAAATATCAATTCACCAAGGGCAGATCTTCCACAGAGGAGGTAGAGATCCTATTTTAGGACATTTTTCATAGAATCATAGAATGTCCTGACTTGGAAGGGACCCACAAGGATCATTGAAGTCCAACTCCCGGATCTGCACAGGACAGCCCCAAAAATCACACCATGTGCCTGAGAGCATTGTCCAAACACTCCTTGAGCTCTGTCAGGCTTGATGCTGTGAGCACTTCCCTGGGGAATCTGTTCCACTGCCCAATCACCCTCTGGGTGAAGAACCTTCTCCAAATATTCAACCTAAATCTCCCCTGACACAGCTTTCTGCTGTTCCCTTGGGTCCTGTCACTGGCCACCAGAGAAGAGATCGGACCCTGATCCCCCACTTCCCCTTGTGAGGAAGCTGTAGGCTGCAGTCAGTCTCTTCTCAGTCTCCTCCTCTCCATGCTGAAAAAGCCAAGTGACCTCAGCTGCTCCTCTTGGGAATTCCCCTCCAGGCTCTTCACCATCTCCACAGCCCCACTTGGGACACTCTGTAATAGCTTTATATCTTTCTCATCTTTAGCACCCAAAACTGCACATGCTACTCGAAGTGGGTCTGCACCAGCACAGAGCAGAGAAGGACAATCACCTTCCTTGATCAGCTGGCAATGCTGAGCCCGATGAACCTCAGGACACATTTGGCCCTCCTGGCTGCCAGAGCACACCGGACAATTTTATTTTGAAAATTCTGAATTTTTGAAAGCTTTGAAATTTTCATTTGAAAAGCTTCTTGGGAAATATTATTTTGACAATTTTCAGATTGGTATTTTCTGTCTTTATGCTTCAGAATTATTTCCTTTTTAAATTAAGCTTAAGAGAGTGAAAATGTATTACATAGCCTGTTCATGGAATTGCAGAGCGGGAACAGCTCTTGTGTTAAAGATATCAAGGCACATCCCCAACAGAACATTACAACTCAAATAAAATCTTTCCTTCTCTTATCTCCCTCATGCACAAAGCATGGGTGGTACAGATGCTAGCCCAAGGGCACCTGAAAACTGGAAGTACAGACCAGGACTGGGACTACACAGCACTGGCACAACAGCCCTCAGTGGTGATTTCACTGCTGTGCCCAAAGTTACAGTGAAGGTCATGAGGTACCATGGGCTGAGCATGAAAAGTGACATTTGTGTGAAAGCTGGAACATCCTGACTCCCCAGCTGCCTTGGGGGATCATTTATGAGGAAAGCAGAGAGAATTTATAGCTTCTTTTTTTATAATGAAGTTGAACACAATGGATTTTTTTCAAGATCCCCATCAGCTAAGAAACATCAAAGCACTGTTACTGAGATTTCATTTTTTTTCACCTTGATAGCACATGTTTTGATACTATAAATATTTCTGTGGGATTGGGAGAAAAGCTCGAGCCTTTACCTCTAAGCCTCTTCACTGCTTGGTCTCTCCTTAGCTCTTAAATCTAATACTCTGTCACAGCAGAAAAGTTTCTTCCCTCACTAAAGATAACAGATTCTGTCATTTCTCCTGGAGACACTTTTGTGTTTTCTCACAGCCTGCCCTTTAAATCATGGTAAAAATCTCCCCACAAGGTACCATCTTGTCTTCCATCAAATCCTCTTTTACGCTTTACCTCTGCCACGAATCCCAGGAAGCAATGCTGGCTGGCACAGCCTGGGGAGGAAGCTGCCTGGGGCTGGGGATGGCATGCAAATGTGCTCATCATACCAGTATCTCCTTGCCTCACACCTCTCACTGAGTCCCCCCTTGTCACCCACTATCATCCTGGGCTGCGATAGCTCGAGGGCAGGGGCTGTCTGTGCTTGTTGGCACAGCACCACAAGGCTGGAGTTTTGATGGAGGCCTTCAGGCAGATGTGATGAATAATAAAGTCAAACTACCTAAAGCTGATTTCATTCTCCCACACTGATATATGAGCTATTCATAGAGCAAGACTCTTATTCTTTTCTTTCCAATGCAAAGCTCTCAGGACGTGTCAGAGTGACCAGATTAAGAAATGACGCCTGCCTTTGTTCTCTCAACAGCTCTTGCCTGGTAGCAGCAAATCATTCCAATTGTTCCTCTGTCCATTTTCCCCACCAGTAATTTTAGGAATAATTTCCTTGTCAGTAACTCCAAATCCCACAGTCCCTATCTGACAGAGTATGGCCTGTCTGAAGTCATTCTAGAACCCAAAAATCTTGAGTTTTAGTGCAGCAGTAAGACTGGGCTCACATCCAAGTCTGACTTTTCCACACAGCCATTAGGGAGACCTGCACTGTCAGAACTACTTACTGTTTTTTGGATGAGATGCTAAACTGAGGTCATATCTTTCTGCATCTCTCTGGGAGCCGAGAAGCATTTAAAAATCCCATGGCAATATTCAGGAAGGGTTAGGGTTAGCTGAACTATCCTTGGCTTGCACTGTCCCTATGTACCTTCCTGCACACATATCTTTGGGGAAATAATCTGCATTCCACGCTGTGCTTGAGCTATTTTGGGGTACAAAATAAGTGCAAATGTAACTAGTTTGTGAAGCCAACAGGGATGTCTTGAGTGCTCTTCAGCACCTAGACAAATACGCAGGCACATGAATGGGCTTTGAACTGGAGGGGAAAAAACTGCTATTTTCCCAAGCTTCCCGGTCTAGCACCAGACTTCAAAGTCTTCTAACATGGGTGGTGTAGAAAGGTAAAGAGAAGATCTCTCAGATAAGAAGCAATGGCACTGTTTCCTTGCAAAGGCTGCCTGGAAAAATAGCAACTGAGGAAAACTAAAGGAAGTGAGATTGCTAAAATTGGAAATTTTTCAATTACCCTATTTTCCCCTCAAAGAGGTTTATAATCCAAAGTCTGCATAAGGACTCTCATACTTCAGAATCCAGAAGACTCACATTCAGGGGGCTCCAGATCCATACTCTGATCTAGGAATCAGCTCCTTCACTGCTAGGAGACTGATCCAGGATGACTTGTATGATACCAGTACTTAGATCTCATCAATAATCAATAATTCTGCTATTACATTCTCTATGATTTAATGGCTTAAAGGTAGATGCACCTACATACATTTATGATTGAAAACTGCACCTCTAACCTGAGATCATGCTTATGAGATATTTGCAAGCTCACAGATAAGACTTCTTTTTGCAATTTTTTTCTCCTTTGT